AGGGTATTGGAAAATAAATTCCGTACTTACTCAATAAGGGATTACTGGATTCCTCATCAGCCTTAGAGGAGAGAAATTTACCTGGATGCGATCGACCCTCCTGGCACATGCAGCCACCTTCATGCCTGCCTTGGCCAACTTCATGGCAATAGCTGCACCGATCCCTGAACTTGCACCTGTCACAAGTGCTACTCTACCCTTCCAATCAGATAATATAGAGGAAAATGATGAAATTCGACTGAGCGAAGGGATTGGGGATTAATAAGTGCGATGCTGGATGTTTCCCCCTTTGAAACTCTGAATGCCATACCCTACAGATAATCGGGAAAGGTGATGTGTTCACCACTTGAGTCAGGATTCGAGGACGAGTCATAAGGTTGGGACAGAGCTTCGGAAATACATAAATGTATCGATTCCTCTTCTTATCCATTAGGCACCCTCTTCAGTTGAAATGTATCATGAAGTTCACCATTCACATTATTTTGAAATTTCTCTTTGGTCTTTTGGGAATCGGCTGAAATTCCGAGTTGTTACCTTCTCCCCTGATGGAATAAGCCTTGCCAACCGCTTCTCATTTCGCCTCTGGTCTCTCCTCACTGCTTTTCCTTTTAGTTTCACCTTCTCACATTTTCATCCTCTTGAGGTGCGAAGTGTCTCGCCTTTTGATGGTCTTGACGTTCGATGTACCTAGGTTTATGTTCGCCTATCGTTTTCCGTAAGACTCTATGTTTAGTGCTTTTGTATGCATTGTTCATTTTTTTCAATGTTCATAAATATCAAGATGCAATCTACAAAAAGAACATCGACAAAAAGGAGTTGAGATATCTTGATGATGTTTGAGACACTTCTGGCATCTGATCAAGTATGTTTGAGCAGAGCGAAACCACACAGAGCACTCCTGATGGGATATTTGTGCATGTTCTGTCGGATTCCAAAAATTAGAATATGCTGAGAGAAACTTCCTGTGAACGTTAGGAAATTCATCGGGACCGAGACTCGTTTATGGAGTCTAGCATCTTACTCTCAGCAGCTAGTTAAACAAGTTTGGTGTCCGGTTATTTCACTTTAGTAAAGGTTTATGGCGACAAAACTTGGACATGATTAAAATACAGAGCCAAAGGCTCGTCGGATGAGTTTCGACGAACCTGCATGATGCATTTTGGCTCAGTGAGAGAAATGTTTAAGTAAAAGTGTTCAAGTAGATGTATTTAATCTTCAATGCACAAGATATGTTGTTCTTGGTGCCAGTTACTTGGTGCCAGTTAATAAAAATTATGTTTCCGCTGGTTTGATGATCGATTTCACATTGAATAGTCTGTATGTATGCAATTAAACCTTGAGCGAAATAACACCATAGCTCTTAGGATCATGGAGCGGTGGAAGGGCCGAGTAGCACTTGTGACGGGTGCGAATGCAGGGATTGGTGCTGCTATTGCTATGAAGTTGGCTATGACAGGCATGAAGGTCGCTGCATGTGCCAGAAGGGTCGATTCTATCCAGGTACTTTTCTCCTAATCTAACTTCCTGCAAAATTCACGTATTGATTGGTGTTTTGTATTCGTTAAAATTCTCATTTTCTTTAGGAAATGGTGAAAGAATTGGGAGATAAAGGCAAGATGATGGCCATCAAGTGCGACCTGACCAACGATGAGGAAGTGGATGCAATGTTTTCCTAAATCATGGAAACATGGGGAGGCATAGACGTCTGCATTAATAATGCCGCTAAGATAGGCATACCGAAGCTCCTTGGTATGAATACAATTTATTCACCATCTTTCTTATGTTATGGATGTGCTGCAGTGGTTGAAACCGAATATGTAATAAACTGCATACCTTCGACGTAGATGGAAACCAGAAGGAGTGGAGAGAATTATTTGACTTGAATGTGATTGCATATTGCTACTGTGCAAAGAAGACAGTAGAATCCTTGAAGGAGAGAGATTGTGACGAAGGACACATAATCAACATTGGCAGGTCTGACCCACTCTTTTCCATGACCCCTTCGCCCTGTACATGAAGATATGTTGCAGCAATTTAAAGATGTATACATGAACTGCTGCTTTAGGATTTTATGTTTTTCCTTAGCAAGAAGACCNTTTCTCCAGGTTATTTTTAATTTAATGATTTCAAGACATTTCGAATGCTAAAGATGATGGCTATTTGATTTAGTTTCAGTGAACTTCCGGTGTCCTGAAATTAAAGATTCACACTTCTGGCAGATTTTTGGTTTTTAATTTCAATTTTAAGCAAGTATCTCCAGGGGTGGTAAGGACGGAGATGTTGGATCACGTGCCAGAAGACCTTCTGACCCTCGTGATGTCGGACATGGATCCCCTACTAGCCGAGGACATAGCCAATGCTGTGGAGTTCATCATCTCTGCTCCTCCTCATTTCGAGGCGCGTAGGCTACACTTTCTCATTCATCTACTCTTTCCATTGATTATTATCATTCAATGCAAGGCATTGCTCATCTTCCCTGGAATTTAAAAAACCGAAGTGCTTGCAAGTGTTGAGGGTTGTAGGTGGATCAAGTTTACCCTTTTAGAAAAAAAAGACTCTTGTTTTTCTTCATTTCTTCATTTTGCTCAGCAAAATTCAATGAAAAGGTGTATCCCTTGCAAACGAAAGGATGTATTTGTATGGTTTTCTGCCCTTTATTAGGTGAATGAAATGATCATCCGGCCGACTCGTGAAAAATTTTAAGAAGCCTCCATGCAGATTCTCTTCGACTCTGCCATAAGCGTCCGAGAGCTCTATTTATCAAGACGTGTGGAGTAATAACAGCGAGCATCGTGTATGTTCTCATATACAATGGTGAAACAGAAGTTGCGCGCGACAGTCTTAAAATGTTTTTTCACAATTTTCTGGATGCTTCGTATTGAGTTCATCCGCGAATGTTCGATGAGAGCCTCCTTTCTTTGCGCACGTCAAAACTACCTGAACGCGTTCTTCTTTTGTTGATTTTCTAACCACATCTTCAGCTTTTAAAATACGAATGAATACCCTACGGTGCGTGACTTCTGTTACACCCTGTATATGGGCTTTGACACAACCATGAAGAATTTTTTATGCAATATCTTCCCTAGGAACGCTTTTAGTGTTGAAGTGAATTACATGTTCACATTGCATGCACAACACAACGTGCTCACATGGCCATGTGACTCAGTGATTGCATGCAAAAATTTTGCTCCTGGGTATACAAAGAAAGCTACCAGTGATACATATGTTATAATGGCTTATAAACTTAAGAATATGTTCATGATGCATAACCAAAATATCAAATATATTGTGTTTTTACTCGATGAAAGCTTTCATGTAATATGGAATTTCCTTTCAACATGGCATGAGGACAGCTTCAATCACTCAGTTCGAAGTGTGCACATCATAAGGTGTTGGTTTTTAATTCGTGCATGTAGGAGGTCGGGAGGCTCCAACTCCCCCCCCCCTCACCCTACCCTCTCGCTACACAACCGTCTATAGAGGATTTGTTGAGGATTTGAACATTGTGAAGGTATAGAGCCAGAGGTTCGTTGGCTGTTTTCCAGCGAACCTGCGTGATGCATGCTGGCTCTTGGAAAAGCATTTATAGATCAACCAGCTATAGTGCCTATCTCATCTTCAATGCAGGATGCTTCATTTCTTGGTGCCTGTTTTTGCATGAGTCAGTATTAGATATTTCGTCTCGTATGGTGAGGTCTGTCTGATTCAATATTCAGGTACCATTTATCCCGCAAGTGAATATTTCCATTTACAACCCATAAGGCATGGAGCGATGGAAGGGTAAAGTAGCACTTGTGACAGGTGCAAGTTCAGGGATCGGTGCAGCTATTGCCATGAAGTTGGCCAAGGCAGGCATGAAGGTGGCTGCATGTGCCAGGAGGGTCGATCGCATCCAGGTAAATTTCTCTCCTCTAACGCTGATGAGGAATCCAGTAATCCCTTATTGAGTAAGTACGGAATTTATTTTCCAATACCCTGATTTTTCTAGATTATTTTCCTCGTGTGGGAAACATTTGGACGGAATTTTTTATACGATTCTTTGTACTCTACAGTATTTAATGCCTTAATCACGGTACTTTGATGCTTCGGAATAGCCGATTTATTTTCGGAGAAGATAACAGTAAGGCCATATTCAGTTTTGAGATTGACTTCTGCCATAATTGTTGCCCTTGGGAATGCTGTTCACAGATACAAAATACACTCTTAGGAAATTCCGAGCGTTTGGGGAGTAAAAAGTGAGCACACCGTGAGCTTTTCGAATTTACTCTCTTATTACTCATCAAATGCTCCCTCATCGCTCGTATTGAAGTGAACACCTTGAAGTTCTTTGCCAGGCCACGAGATGGAGGTAAGGGTCTCGCTTTTCGCACAGTTTGCAAAAGTTCCCTTCTCTCTTTCCCTGGAATCGTCCCTCGCAGGATTGTTTAGTACCTTGCCATACATCTCGCCTAGTCTCATTATAGGAATCAATAAACACGGACACTTCATCATTTGTTATCCACATATTCAAGACATATTCATAGAGTCCATACCAAAAACAAGCTCATATTCCTATTGAGAACCCTTTTGGAACGCGTATGATTTTATCCGCATAGAAGACCTAGAAGAAATAAAGAGTGTCCGTGAACTTCATTCAATCAGACCTCACTGAAATGAGGTAATAAGGGACTAATATCCCGGATTACCCCACAGAACCTACAAGAGGTGGTCCAACCTCTGACGTGTACTGTAATCAGTACAATCAGAGGTAGTTCAACGCCTATGCGAGAGCGAAAGCGATGCACAATATATGTGATAATTTTCTTATTTGCATGACATCCCTATCACTTTCTGAGGGGAGCGTTTTTACTCATAGAGGAGGAGAGCAAAAAATGAGGAACCACTACCTCATTTAAGCGAAGAAAGGGCCTCACTTTCCCCCCACTTTGACCTCAATCGATAAAATGAGGGAAAAAACTCTTTTATCGCTCCCCTTTTTCTAAGAGTGTATGTGTACTTCCTAAATGAAAGTTGGAATGGGGAGTAGGAAATATAAAAAAATGGTTTAACTACACTTGAGGTGTTCCGCATCATTGTCTTTTCGTCTTTTCGTTAGCAAATGATGGTAAAATTGGGAGATAAAGGCACGATGTTGCCCATCAAGTGCGACCTGACCAACGATGAGGAAGTTGATGCCATGTTTTCCCAAATCATGGGAACATGGGGTGGAATTGACGTGTGCATCAATAGCGCTGCTCAACTTGGAACACAGACGATTATTGGCAGGGATACATTTTTATTTTCTTGTTTCTGCTCTGACAAAGTCCCAGGCAATATTACTTAGTACAGCGTCATATCTTTAAATTCAGATGGTGACCGGAAGGATTGGAGATATTTGCTCAATCTGAATGTAATTGCACTGTGTTATTGCTCCAAAAGAACGGTGGAGTCCTTGAAAGAGAGGGATTGCGACGAGGGACACATAATCAATATTTGCAGGTTTGTAGTATGGATTGGCCAGGATATTCTTACTTGTACGTGAAACCCATTATTGATTGTAAAAAATATATTCTTACATCAACTAATGTTGTGGCTCTCAATCCACAGACCGCGGTTCACTGAGTACGTTGATGTTCTGAGGAAGTAAAAATGGTATTGCTAACTGCTAAACTAGTGGCTTGTGTTTGTAGAGTTTTCTTCGTTTAAATGCACTACTTCGATGAAAGCTTCTTTAAATTGATTATATTTGCTTTATTAACTCTATCCCTGAGAAAAGCTCTTCTTCTATAGAGGACAGTTGGGAAAAGTGCGAATGAAAAATCTGCGAAAATAATAATTTTTTGATTCTGTAGCATTGCTGGGCATTGGGTGTACAATGTGGACCCAAATCTGTACAACATATCCAAGTTCGCTGTTACGGCTGTGACGGAATCTCTTAGACTGGAGCTGAAAGAGACGAAGAAAAACATCCGAGCATCGGTGAGAATTTCAAAATAATTTTTAAAAGACCGATATATATATTGATATAATTTTCCGATTTATGAAGCTGCGCCAGTATTTGAATCTAAATACGTTTCCCTTTTTACTGCATTCTTTAACCTGCCTAAAGGCAATATAGCAGTATTTAAATGAGTTACGATTGCAATCGCAGTATTTCTCAGTGCTATCACAATGTTTATAGGCATGCTATTGAAATGAGAATATAATGGAATGCAACATGCGCGCATTATCATTACTTTAGTACTGCAAATAATGGTAATTACTATTTACATTACGATGTCGCTGGATTCCAGACGATATAATTTTGATTAAAGTAACTTTCCATGACGGGGGAAAGCCAGTGAAGTGATCACATTAGCTGCAGTTTTAAATTTGCAACTTGAGAATTGCTTGCATTGCAGCATCTCACTTTCAGAATTAAAGACATTGCCAGTTGCGTATTTTCTCGAAAGCAAATAAGTCCGGGGCTCGTGTGGACGGAAATGGTTGAGAACCACTTACCGAAAGATCGACAGGCCGAGCTCAAATCAAAAATGGATCCATTGCAAGCCGAAGACATTGCTAATGCCGTCGAGTTCATGCTTTCTGCTCCACCCCATGTAGAGGTAAGTATGAAGCATATTTAATTTTTCTTTTATGTATTCTTTCCATTTTTCACTTGGCTGCACTCCTTTTTCTGAAAAGAAATGAAGCGCTTTTGATTTGAAAGTGATGGAACCAAACAATCCTTGAAATACGGAATGTTTTGGTTAAGAATTTCTACATGTGACAACCAATGGAAGCGAATAAAAAAAAAAGGTTAATTTCGTGCTTTTGTCAGGTGAACGACATGATCATCTGGCCGACACGGCAGAAAATGCAAGAATTCTCCAATCATATCGACTTCGCTCCTGCCGTGAGGATCTGAGTGCTTCCCAGTGTAGTGATGTATAGCACCACGGTGGAGGGTAATAAAGCTAACACAGTGATGAAAGCGATCTCCGCATTAGTGAGTCTTCATGGTAATGCCCGAGTGAGTCACAAGTGAGTGTCTCCTGAGCATGGCCTTCCGGACCTTGCGAGGCTATGTGCGGCTTGAATGACAGCGTTGGATTGCTGCGTCCATGTGGACGTGAGTGGGAGAGTTCATGCCGTTCTGCACCGATGAAAATTAGTGTTGCACCTAGCATGATGATATTGTAAATATAAATTCTTCTCGCGAAGCATAACAATAAATTGAAATGAATTAGCGCCTAATATCAATTCATTTCGAGTGAGTGTCTTAATGAGTGAAGATAGAAAAGTATTCATTTCACCTGGCACGGAAGGCTTGCTCATGTCACTCGACTCATGTCGAACTGCATTGGATAATTATTATTCCCTTTGTTATCCGAGGCGACACTGTCGATCCTATAGTAGGATCCTATAGTAGGTCTTGTCTCATGCTCCAGTTCGCATTTTTGTTAAAAGTTTTCATTGAACACTGAAATAATGGTCACCCAGACATGCATGCAGTCACAAAGAGTAGGAATTTGTTGATATGCTATTTTTACTCGAGCTGCCCACAATGTTACAACTTTCCACAATATTCATTAACCAATGCCGCTCTGTTGTCCCATGTTTCATTCCAGAGAGAAAAGAAAGAATTTCAAGTTTTTATGGGTAAAACAGGAATCGTTTTAGCTACTGGAGGAACTGAGGGTTAGAGTCCTGCGCGGGTTGTGCCCGAACCCGACCCGACCAGCGAGCCCTCTGGGACCGAAACTGTCACGATCCTTCTTAGAGTTGGGTCTGATCGGGCTGAAATGTAGTATTTAAATGGTATCGTTCTTCTGGACCACGGAAATATCATGACTGAAATCTTATTCAAGCATGTAATCTGAGAGAATGAAAATACTAAATTACAAGACAATGAATATAAATAAAGGAATGAAGACATTTTTACGGGCAAGGGGCAGTTAGTGCCACTACTAGAGACCGAAAGCTATTTAACCGTTTCTTTTTGCAGAAATTTTTTCTAGTCAGTCGACTTTCGACGACTTCCTGTTTTTGCAAAGCAATTTGGAATGATGAAGCACACAGGTAAGCATGGATTAAAGCACTTAATTTTTGCTCGGCTCGGGCCAGATCGGGCCATGAAGTTCGGTTGGAATTCGAACTTCCGATTGAGAGCGGACCATGACTTGAATTGGGCCCATCGGGTCGGGTACCGGAAAATCGCCCCGTGCAGGTCTCTACCGGGGGTAGCATGGTGGTGAAATATGTAATAGTTTATAACTCCTCCTCGGCTGATACTATTTCAAATCTGATATCTCGAGCACACCTAC